GGTATCTATAATATTTTTTATCTTTTAAAAAAGTAAATCCAACGATGAATTCATAATGAAGTTTTAAATTTTGTTACTTAGATATTATTAATAAAACCAAATTTTAAATTGACATCACAATAAATTTGCAATTAACCGACAAAATAATTCAATCAATAATTGGAAATTAAATGAATTAAATTGTATAAAACCATAACAAAATTAAAAACAATTTGATACACTGAATTCGATAGAACTAACATAACATTGCTTCTGCTAAATAGTATTATTCTAGAACTAAACATCTTGGATGATAAAAATAATGGTCTAGGAACCTCAAAAATAACAAACTCCCCTAGCATCTCCCAACCATTATTCCTCAACAGAGCAAAATACACACTAGATACACTATCTCTCTTCTTTCTCCGTTGATGGCGATTCTTGATTCGTTGTCCATGTCACAGATGACGAAGGGTGAGCTAATGGAATCGACCATTCAGACCACGACTGCCTCCTTCGCCGTGACTACCTTATCAATCTCTTATCAAGTTACTCTTGGGGATCCTAGGAGTTCAATCAACCAATACATCAATCAACAAACAAGATTCAAGGCAAAAACAAGAAAATAAAATCGGAAGAATACAACCCCTTTATATGGCTGAAATCTGTCCAGCTTCTTCTTCTTCCTTGCAGCAACTTCTTCACCTCTTATAGCAGTTTTTCCAGGCTCAGGAACAGCCCCATGCTATGCAAATTGCCTTCCAAAGAGAGATAGAAAGAACCGGCAAAGAACCCCTTGAAAAACCACCAACCAAGAGACCACCTTAAGGAACCAAAAATGGAGGAAATTTACTGTCGAGCCACACATGAAAATGACCAGCCTGCCTCCCTTTTAAAATAACCCCCACCCAACCGTAGACACTCCTTCTTACACAAAAACGTGGGGTAAGTAGTATGTTAGGTGAAAATTTGGTCAAAGCTTCTCCCACAAGATTAAATCTCAATCATTGATCTTCATCCAATGGTTCACAAAAACTGAAGCAAGTGGGTTAAGAGAACCATATTCTCA